AAGCGGATTCAAATGTGTTTGATGAAGATCATGTGTTGGATATCCCATAAACATCATGGACGTTCTCTTGAATAATTTATTTTGAGTTTTGACTTTTAGTGAATGAAATGGTCTTGTCTTTTACTTTTTTAGTGTTTATTGTGATGTATTCGAATAATATAAAAAGTTATTAAGTTTTGTAAAAATTTTCCAATAAGATTTTTTTAAGTTTTAAATATTTATCTTTTTTTAAGGTTAGAACTTAAAGAAAAATATAAAATTTTATTTAAAAAAAATGATGGGTCGGCCCGTGGGGGCCCGCAGCCCACATAGAGCTCGGGTTGGCAGACCATTATAAGGCCCATCAAAATGGTGGGCTAGCCCAGCTGAGCCCGTCAATTGCTAAAGCCCACGTGGACTGGGCTGCGCTAACCCGATCCCGCCCATATTGATAGCTCTAATGTTTAATGCTCATGTCTGATCCTTGATTCATTACAGCTATAACCTCATTAACTGTTTACATTAATTAATTGATCTTTATATAATTTATTTGATGAACAATTCTCTATCATATATGTTGTACTCCCTTCATTCCACAATAATTGACCATTTTATCTTTTTATTTTGGTCCAAAAATAAGTGTTCATCTACATAATTAAGAAGGAGTTAATTTTATTTTTTCAAAATTTTCCCTTATTTTACATATTCTAATGTGCCAAGGTAACAATTAATTAAGGTTAATTTAGTGAATACATCTTTTTTTCTCTAGGAGTTCGTATTTCCCTAATGGTGTGCCAAAGGTAAAATGGTCACTTATCATGGATCGGAGGGAGTACCACATTACCAATTTCATAATTTATACTCCTCACAAATACAAAGACAACAATTTCGGGTACAGTAGTAATCAGTGGTGGTAAAATGGATTAAAACAAAAAATAGTTACCCACCCGTATTATCTATTAAAAGTGGGTTGGATAATTAACTTTTTAAAAACGAGTCAAATATGGATAAGAAACATATTATCCACTTAGAAAACGGATAACCAACGGATAACCAATGGGTAACTAATGGGTTACTTTTACATTTGTAAAGCCTCAAATTGGGGGTAACTCAAGTTTGGTAAACTAAGAATTCTCCCAAAAGTGATAATATTCAAGAAGCCATTGACTGGTTTTGAGCCAGGCATCTCAATATCGATAGCATGGATAATATGGATATCCATATTATGTAAGAGTTTACGGACTTGCACATATATTTCGTATTAAGAATAATTGTATGTTGGTTGCTATCATTAAAAGGCTGACCCAAATTGAAAGTGATCCGCTAAGGTTCAAAGTAAAATGGGTATATAAAACACTTTCTAAAGTATGAGGTCTTATGTGTAGATACCCAGATATAATTTCTAATTTAATGATGAGCTAAATTAGAATTACGTAAATTGTGTGCATCTATAAATAGGGTTATGGTCTCCAAATCAAAAGTAGGATTCTTTTTTAATATCTCATCGTTGGAAAAGTGTGAGTCGTCATTTGTGCAAGTACTACGTCTTGGTTTGGAAGACCACTAACTGCAAAGACTACAAGTTCACCGGTTCCCATGGATTCAGATACGCTTCCGCATCTAGTTTTTGTTCTCCATGATTTGATACGATAGTTCTTGGGTAAAAGATTGTTTAAAAAGGTAGTTAAGAAAAGATTACTGGTAATCGCTGCTTTTGTGGATAATGTCTACTACTAGAAAAGATTGCCTTTTTGTGTTCCTTAGTTTAAGAACAAGGGTTTACTCGTGCTGCTATTGTGGCATATCAATTTCATTTTGCGAAAGTATATTGTACGCCACCAGAAAAGGCTAGTTCCTTGTGAATCAGTATTGTTGCCTTTTTACGAATATTTGATATTTCTATGCAAGTTTGGTTCCAGTATAGCTAATGGTTTAACAAGTGGACTATCATAAATCATGAAAGAGTTATTTGAATTCCATGTTCAAATTATATTCATCGTTTATATGCCTGGTACTATGTTAACTTGAGAAATAAATTTACAAGGATATTCGTACAACAATATAATAAAAAATATAAGGGACAAGTTTAGAAAGGAATAAAGATCTTAAGCTTTAATTCCATATTCCTTTTTGTTATTATGTGGCTTCATATGAAATCGGAATGTAGTACTTTTGGCATAAGGATTTTTGAGGTTTTAACCTCAATTACATATTGTTGTGACAAAATTTATTACTTTAGGTTATATGATTAATTTATTTGTGTGCTCGAGCAAACTGAAATAGCTACTTTGCGGCTTGCCAAATCTGGAGAAAAGGAAACGGAGGTAATGTCCTCCATTAGGTTTTAGCGCCATTCTTTATGAATTTTAGGTTTATTATGGTACTTTTCTTTGAATTGTTACTTAAATACAAAAAAAAAAGAAAAAGGATGATAAAGGATAGAATGGAATTTAGTATAAGAATTTGAAGGTTTGACCTTCTTTACATTGGGGTACCAGTAATAAGGCCAACGGAAGATCTTCTCTTTAAGGTCTTTAAGTTCATTAATGTTTTCAGTTATTAAGAAACTAAAAGAGAAGATTTTTTAAAGACTTAAGGTGTCGTTTTTGTGGCAGTAACACATTCTGAATCAATGTTTCCTAAAAAAAAGTTCCTTTAGAGAGATGTGAGACCTTCTCTCTATGATAACTGCACTACTTTCAATTCTCTACTATTAAACTTCTATCTTTGATGCTTCACAAACCTCAATGACAACTCACACCCCTAATAAACTTCCATTAAAACATATTCAAGAACCACCTGACATAGGAAGGATGCAGATTGATGAACCTATATCATCGCTGGCCCCACAACGAACATTCCTCCAAACACTGCTAACAAACAACTCTTCATTGATCAACTCTGAAAGCCAACTTCCACAACAACCAAGTATTCACCTCTCTGGTGAAATAACAACTACTGACACTGAAGAAGATATGTTCATCCCTCTAACCACTGAGGATAAATCACATCTCTACACCCCCTGAAAATACTATGTAACTGTTGAAGTTTTTGGGAAAAAATTGGGTCATCAATTACTAAAGTAGAAACTTATCTCCCTACGGAAACCAACTGAACAAATGCCTTTAATTGATCTAGGGTCTGATTTTTTTCTCATCAAATTTCAGAAAGAAGAAAATATGATCAAAGCTCTTCATGGGGTTCCTCGGTTTATTTTAAACCACTTTCTCTCAGTACGTCAGTGGGAACCTAAATTCATTGCCTCAAATACTCAGCTAACGTACTCTGCTATCTGGGTGCGGCTACCTGAACTCCCTACTTGTTTGGCTCAAAAGTTAACGATGTACTTTATAAGCGATAAAACAATCAAAAAATAGAGAAGGGGTAAATCGTAATCAAATATAATAAGCCTAGAGATGCAAAGATGATAATGTTGTTGTAGATCTAATATTGCAAAGTGACAATGTATGTTAATAAGGTATTTTCGTCAGAAGTAGTGATATAGAGAGAGAAAGACAGAAAATGAGAGAGTTGTATTAGATCAGATGCCCCCCTTTTTACAGTGTGGAGGTCTCCTTTATATAATAGGAGACCTTCCTCGAAAGAATCAAAAAATTACAGAGATAGGTAACGTCTCCCTTGTATAGACACTGAGTTCAAAACGACATCGCTTTGGTCCTTACGGCCGAGTCGTACCCGCTACGTTGGTCGGCGTACACTCATTGGGCGTAGAGATACTGAGGGTCAAATTTGACCCTATACAGATACAAAGAATAAAATTCATTTCGATCCCGGCGTAGTTCTCAATCATTTCGTGGCACCAAGCTTGAGTGAACCATCATACCATCTATGATGGGGGAACTAATGCACTGTGAAGAAGCTTAGATAAAAGAATACGTTCTTGCATCATTTTTTTTTTTTATAGAAAGCTCAACCAGCAAGAAAAAGTGTTTTGGTACGATTTCACAAAAAGCCAACAGCTTGAGCACTTTAGGAGACGCTAACTCTCAGTAAATCCAGACATTACTTTCTAACGAATGCAACTGGCAGACTTGTTATTGGGGTTCTCTAGAAAATGACTTGTTTAAATGAAACGACTCACAAAACAGAAACATGAGAAGGGTTGTTTGGCTAATGGGTAGAAGAAAAAGGGAACCACGGATACGAACACATTAAACTCTGTATTTCTAATCTAACCTATCTATGCATAGTGAATATAAGATTCAATTTACAGTATTCAACTTTACAAAACTAATGTGACAGTTATTTTATAAATTAAATTGCGAAAATATCACTTTTAGAATTCAGTAGCCGCAAAAATGCATGATTTTTTTATATTTTGTATATAACAACAGAATTATATATACATACAAAAAATTATATATTTTTCTGCTATTATTTTGATCGGAGGCGGAGCCAGAATTTAAAACTTATGGGTTCAATATTCTAATTTTTTTAAATTATTGGGTTCTAAATTAATAATTTATACATAATTCAATAACTTTTTAAGACAAAAGTTAGGGGGTTCAATCGAACCCACATACGAAGGGCTACCTCCACACCTGATTTTGAGACCGGTTATACAGTGTTATTTTCCTATTCAAATTCTGCAGTGCTAATTCATGCACAGCTTATTAAGAAATTTAGGTTGTAAGAATTACTCTATGCAGGATAACGTGTAAATAAGAATAGATGGATTAGCATTACTCGGATGAGAACACTGAAAGAGAAAACTAAACTTAAATGTACAGAGATACCTAGACTAGAATGCATCAGAACTGAAGCAGCCACCAATGTCACCCAAGTGATGCGCTATACAAAGATCGAACAATATTATACATTGTAGTTCAACTTCTTAATAACCGTGGTGTCCAGACCAGCTTGCACGAACCTTGACTAGGTTTAAACACAGAAAGAAATCATTGTTTTGAATCCCGCTGAGAGCACTGAAACACATTGAAGTTCAGCTTTGTCGTATTTCATCCCACGCATATGCTTGTGAATTAGTTGCAGATCCATGGTTAATAATTGGTTGGTCACAGAACAAAATAACGCAACTATATAGTCATATACTACTGCATAAACGTTCTAATAGGTCATGTTACAAACCATTAAACCAAAACCAGTATCCTCCAAATCTATCAGATATCAGAAAAACCACTAAAACATTCAGGAAACTCTTTACAGCAAATGTTCTTGCAATTCTTTCCCTTAGCCACAAGGACTGAAAGTACACACCATTATTAGGTCTGCATAGCATCTGCAGTAGCATGATAGTTTTCCAACTCCTTGTCAAGTTCTTCCGCTGACTTCTCAACGCCGTTCTTTCTCCCCCTACCGCCACGACCACGACCACGTCCACCTCCACGGCCACGACTGCGCCCACGCCCCGATGCAGTACCGAAACCTCCACGGCCCCTTTGACTATAAAGTGAGAAACAAGACAATTACTTAGAAGTCCAACAATTTGTTTAACCAAAACAATATGACCGCCATCTTTATCCTTTATCAAGGGTTTCATCTATTTAATTTATTTCCACAAATAACAGGAATTTCAATCTGATGTAGTTACTTTTACTTAATCGTATATTTGATTTCAATTAAGTCAATGCAGCCATGAAGAAGAGAATACGGTAAACATCTAAATCCAAAAAAGAACTCCTAACTCTTCAATATCAAACGTACATTTGATTTGCTGATCCAAAAGGATCTCTTCATTTAACATTTCATTGTAAATAAGAGAGAGATTGCACTAACAGAGAAAAGTAAGCTATGTGTAACATCAACTTCAGGTGTGAGATGTTAAAAATTGCAAACAAATAGATGTCCAACGTCCAAACTCTCCACAATAGAAGATGTCTTGGAATAGCTCAAGATGAAACAATATGCATCCAATTAGGCTGTATAGAGTGTAACATTGCAGTCTGACATCTAATAACATCAAATTTGTCAAAATTGCCTTAAAGCAAAAACCTACCATTCTACTGGTATATGGCCTTAGAGCCAGCCTCCAAACAAACATGTTCCACCGCTACCCTCCCGGTAACTAAACAACATCCAGAGAATAAATAACTGTGCAAATCAGAAACTCACCTTGAACCACGATTAGCAGCAGACGCGGCACCCCTTCCACGAGCTGAGCCAGGCCTGCACAACACACAGGTTCACTTTAACTGCCCAAAAAGACCCGTAAAACAAGACTACTTTTGAGAAACAATAATCCTATAAGAAAACCCCAACCAAAACAACCACACCCTGCATAAAAATTAAACTACAAACAAGCAAATGACTCTCACATCAACAGGGAAAAAGGCACAGGTCTGTCATTATAATAGGGCAATAATGAGATTCAATTATAATAAGCAATCTTTGGCTAAAGCACTACTGAGAAGCTAAAAGCAATTATGTGGACCATTTGCTATTACCGACAACCCAACACGGAGTGCAAAATATTCTGAAAGTAAAATGGCGGTACATACTGCAACAGTCGGTTAATAAGCATGGCTGTGACACAGACAACCAGAGATACTAAGAGAGGGAAAGAAAGAAATTAAGATTACATACATCATGACAACTGTCCTCCTTCCACTTCCTCGTCCAACATCTACACGAGCTGATAAAGGCATGTCTGTGGGGGGGGCAACAACTTCTATCTTCATTGGCTTCCCATCCAACTGAACATTGTTGTATCTTTTAAGTGCTTGGTATGCATCACTCCTTCTGGCAAAAACCACCTCAGCTGCACCCTGTAAGTGATTAAAAGTTTAGCATCAAGGGTAACTCCAATACTACACAAGCTAGTACTACAAAAACAACTACAGTATTTAATCTAAAAGAAACAACTGACAAACTGATACACGTGTAAAAGACACAGAAAACCAGGATGAGTACCACGAACTAACAGTTGAAGATTAAAAAGAAGAGAAATGTATAGATCATCAAGCTAGACACCAGCATCATTGGCCAGCTGTTATGATAAAGAGGTGATCTACGAGTGGCTTGAGCAGCTGATTTGAAATTCTATGGCAAGTTAATAGGAACAAGACAACATATATATATATATATATATACATATATATATACACACACACACACACACGTATTCAGACGTGTGCCATGCAGATTATTGTTTTTCCCGTACACTAAACTCCAATATTCATTTTTCTCAGGCTTACCCGCCAATGAGTCTTTACAATTACAACCTCACTGCTTCAAACCAATGATTTCTACTCCATCTTAAATAACAGATGTGATCCTTTGACATGACACAATTATACAAAGATAAAGAGCTCAAAATGAGTAAGGTTATTAATTAGAAAGTATGGGATATAAGACTCGCATGCATATGAGCTGAAAGCTGGTTCCAAATGTGGGTCCCGTGTATTACTTTGCATTTATCAAAAAAACTAGATATTTCTAAAGTCTCGTAGGAGGCTATTTCCCTCGTTAATTGAACTACAAATACCAGTAGATGCATTTCTAAACCACATCAAGCTTCAAACCACTCACTAGGTTCTTCTCAGAAACAGTTGGTAACATTCCTAGAAGCAATGATAACTCTTTTTGAGAAGGTGATAAATTGTTTCATTTATAATATGCAGCTTTAAGCCCAGGCTGAATTGTACTTCAATTGTCTAGTTCAAACTAGGCAGCATACATATCACCAACTGATGAATAACTTGTCCATGTGATAACAAAGCAATACGAGTAAAAGTTAACGCAGAACTATGCTTTAAATTAGCAGAAATTAACTTACACTTGGACGACCATTTTTGTCATAGTGGATAGCATATCGTATCAGTTCACCAATCTCGGAGAAGAGTTCCTGTGTAGCAAGTCCTCTTTTAACAGATCTTGAAAGATATCTAGTGCGAAGAAGTATATTTGAAAGACATGCACAAGCTGTACCCTTATATCAGAATTTGTCACTCCAACATCCAAGTTGGAAACATACACCTTAGTGCCACTCTCCAATCCAGATGATATCCCTGCAGCTCTAAGACTATCTTCAAACAAGCCATTGCCATTCTGCCATGGCAAATTCTTCGTTCTGCGGAAAGACTGAAGAGAGCATGCCCAAAATATATCCAGGTGGAAAGTTAAAAGTCAGCAATACTACCAAAAAATAAGAAAGATAACCATTCTTCAAGATTAAATCAGATATCATCAGCGTTCCATCGAACTAGGAGGAGTTTCTTACGTCGAATTTCTCAAAAACAATGAAATCTAATAGAGAAAGAGGAATGAACTATGGATAAAAGTGTTGGTGGAATGGAGGATTTGACCCACTGCACATCAACAGGTCCTTAAACAAAAGGTGAGAGCTCCACTTTTGATGTTCAGTGAAGGAAGCAACTTTTGCAAAGAGGCCATGAACTAGATTGTAACAGAAGATCTCGACTCCACAGCAGTTCCACATATTGCAGTTGGATCCATTAGGACAATCACAAACTCCCTTTTAAAGCAATTGCTATTAGATAGTGAGGATTAGAGACGGTTAAGAAAGTACAACCCTCTAGATGTTATGGAAATTAAAAGGTGAAATCTCTTTAATTTTTTCCAGTTAATGAAGCACTTCAAGCAACATGCTACACAAAGAAGCAATGTGCCACAACAGGGCCACCTGAATATCCCATTTTATCAAAATCCATTGCACGTTCATCGAAGAAAACCCATTCGAATTGAAGGAGTTAGAGGATCATCAATACTTTGCACTACCATTTGACAGCTTATTACGTCTGAACCAAAGTGGACTTTCTCCTTAGAGCCAAACATGCCAACCTCTTGTATGTCAATTCTATAGCAAATATACGGAGAACCCTCCGTTTCATTTCTAAAGCATATGAAATTGTCTAGGAAATGCAAAAGACTCCATCAGTTTCGAGCTTGCCTTGGCAATTCTGTTGGCAGATGGCCGAGCATTTACACCAAGTGGCACTTTACGAGGAGCTCCTGTTGTTCTTCCACCTCTAAATGATCCTCCTCTTCCACGCCGGGCCCTGCCTTGTCCTCTACCACCTCTCTCAGTATTTCTCCTACTTTTTATCATATCATCAAGAGTCATATCCAAGGAAGCCATGACGTATTCAGGCAACAAAAACCTCAGCTGAAAAATCAGTCTGCAGACAAGGACGAAGTAGTTATATATTTTAGTACTTAACTAAGTATGAAGCAATAAGTGCAGAAAAGGGAGAAACATAGAGAGACCAGAAGTTGAAACTTCTGACACCATACTCCAATCAACGAACAATATTCAAATCAGAGCTAAAGCTCTAACAGAAAAATCTTCTACAATAAATAAGCAACAAGAGCATGTGATAGTTAAAACACATGGCGTCATTGACAGTAAGTTTCATATCAACAAGTAAACTGGTTAATTCAGCACAGATGGCATAACCATGGATCTATGAACCCAACACCAAAAAGTGCCAAAGCCCATACAAGTCCTCTATATCAATTCTTCCGCTTATTGAGGAAAAGTTATAGACAATAGATTTAAAACATTATAAATCCACAATAATACATAAATCTTTACCAATTATATTCTGTTTCAAAAGTAATTTGTCCCCAATTTAGACGGATGAATTATATCAATGAAAAACTAAAGACATGTTGCTAAACACACACAGATGTAAATCTGCAAACAGAGGCAGATGCACGGTCTAATATCACGGTTCAGCTGAACTATCTTCAGCCCAAACCCTGTATATGTGTTGAGAAATCTATTAAATATGTATAAATATTAAATTTGAACACAGTAATACAAATAGTCAATGGGTTCCGTTGGCATCCCGAACCCCATAAATTGCAATTCCTAGATCTGCCTCTGTGACTGCAAATCAGCCCACAGATAATTCATCCATAACAAAACATGATCTTTACAACACAGGTGTAAATATCCGATATGGGTATGTGAAATTTTTTGCTAAATCGTAAACATACAACAAATTAAATGAAAGATCCATGTAATAAACACGAGAAAAGAACAGAAACTTACCAAGATCTGCGATTATTGGAGGAAGATGTAGAGAAATAGAGGAGAGGAAGGGGAAAAGTATAAAGATTGAAGTTTTAATGGGGAGAAGTGTGAAGATTGAAGCTTTAATGGGGTAGAGATTGAAATTTTGATGGGATTGAAAGAGATTCAGGAAAATATTTGATCTAGAGGGAGAGCAGCTGGATTTCAGAGAGATGAAGCTGGTGACTTAGGGTTACGAATTTGCTTTTTGTCGAGAGATACAATGGCCAATGGCAGAAGAGTAATAAGGAATTTTATATGGAATGGGGTTGTTGTGGGGGGGGGGGGGGTCAGCAAGTCAAGGAGAAAAACACGGTTTCTAGGCCCATAAAAACAGGCTTTCCTTCAAAGCACAAAGATGGGCTTTCTCTATAGGGCCAAATTACGGGCATTTGCACAAATGACCTTTCTACGTCTACTAGCGTAGCGTAAAAATTGAACGGGCACCCTATTTGATCACCTCCATTTAATATGTATCTACTTTTAAAAAAAAATTTAGCTTTTACCCACTTTTTGAACAACTTCAGGCAATTTTTTCCTCTTTCTTCTTCTTCTTTGGGTGACAGTGATTTTATATGGTGTTTGTGAACACATTTTAAGGTAGTTTATAATTTTTTACAGTGGTGAACTGCTGTAGCGCTTTATTTTTTACTATTGATTAGGGTTTTTTCTTTTTCTTTTTCTTAATTGCAAAATAGGTTCGTTAGATTTATTGTTGTTTTGACAAATTGATGATTGGGGTTTGTTCTTGGTGATATTTGGAGGTTATGTTTCAAATTTGAGCTCATTTGGAGTAGATTTAGGTATTAAATCGTATATTGGATTGTTAAAATTCGAAGAATAAAATTCTATTTCTGTGCAATTTGCACTTCATGCCTATTTGGCATTAAGTGCATGAAAATATTGGTTGCACTTCAGACTTTTTGACCTTAAGTGCATTTGCAATTTTTCACTTCAGACTTATTGGCCTTAAGTTTAGGAAAACGTTTGTTGCACTTCAGACCTTTCGGCCTTAAGTGCATCTAAAGTGCAAATTTTCGCTTCAGACTTATTGGCTTTAAGTGCATGAAACCATTGGTTACACTTTAGACCTACTTGGCCTTAATGCATCTGAAGTGCAATTTTTCACTTCAGACTTATTGGCCTTAAGTGTAGGAAAATATTTGTTGCACTTCAAACCTTTTGGCCTTAAGTGCATCTAAAGTGCAAAATTTCACTTCAGACTTATTGGCCTTAAGTGCATGAAACCATTGATTACACTTCAGACCTACTTGGCCTTAAGTGCATATGAAGTGCAATTTTTTCACTTCAGGCTAATTTTTTTTTTAACTTCAGACCCAATAAGTCTAAAGTTGATCATAATATGGATAGACTTGCAATTTTTTTTTGCAAAGTGAGTATAGATTGAATTGTGACCTCAAAACTGGGTATAAATGCAAAAGCCCCTGGCGTAGGCTTGCCACTTTTTAAGTCAATGTCATGAAGTTTCACTTGTAGAATTTAAAACTTTATGATAATAGCCATTTTTCACTTGCAAAGATTGAAAAGTATCTATTTTTGAATTTATTCCTTTTTATGCCAAGATAAAAATTCTATCTCGTTAATTCAGTTGGCTAAATTTTTCTGCGAAAAAAAAAAATCTTCTAATTATTTTTAAAGACAAATTTACTCCATTGGAGACAGAATTTAAAGAATTGTCTCTAAAAAGATAAGGCGTAAATAATCTAAAATTATGGGAACTTTACCATATTTGTTATAAATAGAATTCTATTTATGGTGAATGTCCATATTTAGAGAGATTCTAGGGTTTATTATTTGGTGGCTAAGTCAACCTCTCCCTATAAATAGAGGGTTCTATTCCATTGTAATTCACCCCAAAATTCAATAAGAATTCCCTCTCTCTTTCTGTGCAATATTGCTCTTATTCTTTTATTGTTTTACAACACGTTATCAGCACGAGACTCTACCGTCTCAAGAAGATTAAGAAACATGTTTTATGTTTTCAATATCCAGTTGCGCCTATGCTGAAAGGTTGTGTATGTAAGTCAGTAGTGTTCGTTGTCTTCACTTACCTCTCAGAGAAGAATTAGCAAACAACAATTGATCAAGACTTAGAAGACTTTTCAACTGTGAATCAAGATTAGAAAACGTGCAACAGTCTTTATTCAATGGATCAAACAAATGTCGATATCTCTCCAGGTAAACTTGGATCAAAGTTCAATTGTAAAAATATTTGTTTAATTGATTCATGTACGACACATACAATATTCAAAGAGAAGAAATATTTCTCTCATTTAAGTATGTGTAAGGCAGATGTTACTACAATTTTTGGTAGTAGTAATTTAATTGAAGGCTCTGGAAGAGCTACTATAACTCTGCCTAAGGGAACAATACCAATCATAGAGAATGGAATGTTCTCCTCCAAGTCCAAGAGGAACTTGTTGAGTTTTAAAGATATCCGTCGAAATGGATATCGTGACAATAGATGAGAATAATCTTGAATATCTCATCATTACCAAAAATGTCTCGAGCCAAAAAAGGGCTATTGAGAAGTTCCCATCTTTGTCTTGTGGCCTGTATTGGACAAGAATTAGTGCAATTGAGGCACATTCTATTGTAAACCAAAAGGTTACCGATTCCAATACTTTTGTACTTTGGTGATCACGCCCAACTATGCCTTATAAAAAGAACTCTGCGGACGTTGCAAATATAACCCGAGTATTACGCCCAGGGTTGAATCCACAGAGAGTTAACCTATCAACCGCTATCTTCAGACCCACTAAGTCTTCAGAACCAGCTTCCCAAATATTCAAATCTCAGTTGAGTGTTCTTTAATAACTAGCTTGCAAATAACTAAATGGCTGTAGCTAAGTAAAAAAAATAAGGGTTGTAAACAATTATGAGAAAAAGCTAAGGCAATGATTTCCCCTATTGATGGAATCCCTTCTGTTTATGCTCATACAAATTTACCCACACATCTCTATCAATCATGAACGCTAATCTTGCCGCAAATCTCTCCCGAGTAATCACAGTAATCTACTATTGCACTCTCCCGAGATACACTAGCTTGCTTTATTTAATACAATTCACTTTAGATTGCACCCAAGGCTTCGTTATTCCTAATCCCGCCTTTAAACCCGCAATTATAGATTCCTCTAATAATCTAGGAGTGGTGTTGTTCAACAATACCCTAAATATGCACTCTCTTCCAAGTTATGCACACTAAATAGGCACAGCTAATTGAGGATCCTGTCAATTAACTACAACGAACACGAAGTTGAACAAATAAAGATTAAACTAGCAATTTGTATTCACATAAACAAGAAGTTCATCACCCAATAGGTTCCATCAACGCCTTAGACAAGGAATTTAGCTACTCATGGCTATGGGAAAATAAACTAAGCTTGAATTCATCATAAAATCAAAAGAAAAGAAGAAAGATGTTTAGAGTATTTTCTCCCAATCTTTTTCCTTGCTAAGAAACCTAAAAAAATCAATACATGCCTCTCTTGGGCGAAGTCTAATGTTTTAACTAGGGTTTAGGTCTAAAAATCCCGTAATTGACACTTTGGTCCCTGAAGTTTACTGCGCCTGCCGCGGTTCTGCCGCGGTCGCCGGGAATCCTCCAATCTTCTGCAGCTGCTTCCCACCGCGGTTCTGCCGCGGTCGCGGTGGAACCGCGGTGGATCCAGTTCTCTGAATCTTCGGCCTGTTTTTGCACGGGTCACTTAGGAAATTTCACAGTTGGCCTCTTTTTCATCACTTTTGACTCCAAACCTGCTCCTTAGCCGTCTTTATACATATATCACCTACAAATCATGAAAAGCACTAATAAGAGCATTTTGTCATCACTTTTAGCATTAAAACTACACAAGAAGGTGATTATTTAAGGTGTGATTATAGTCAAATTCACCTATTATCAACACCCCACACTTAAATCTTTGCTCGTCCTCGAGCAACTAAACCACACTTCTAGGCCTAACTGCTCAATGCATTGCCCCAATTTATGTCACACCTGCTATTATCAATGATTGACCCAAGCAGTGCACAATCATATCTCAAATGCAGACTCTCATACCAAGACACACTTGTGCTCACTCTAATTACTCTAACAGAAGTGAAGACTCACTTTTTCTTCCTGAGTCACAATCCCTCACATAAACAAAATCTGAGAGAAGTTCCACACACATAAAATTCAACATTAAGGAACCATATATAGAAAGAATTCACTCACTCTTGCCCCTAGTGTAATACTCTACTAATCGAGCCATTCAGTCAAAGATCAAGAGGTCTTTATAGGTTGTAATGTAGGCTAAGGGACGGGTAGGATATATTTGGATATAGTGACTAACCTCCCTAAGCACTTTTAATACACACTTCTTTTTTTATTTTACCTTTATGCTCAACCCAATCATTACTCCACATTTTGTTTCACTTGTGACCCCCACTTTTCGTTAGGTACAACTGGCTGCTTCTTCTTTTTTTTTTCTTTTCTTTTCTCATCTTTTTTTTCTTTTTTTTTTGATTTATTGTACACTGCCAGTTCACCAACCAGAACCTTCATTCTTGATTCCCCTTTTCTCTCTTTTTTTTTTTGGTTCTCTCCCACCCCACACTTTGACTTTTGTATATTCTTTATTGATTAAGTGCTTCTAGGAGGTAAGGGTTCAAACAATGAGCTTATTCAAACACAACGATTTAGATTATTATAGGGTTATCAAAGAACAGGCTTCAGGCTCAAAGGGGTTAACTATGGTAGTATGCACAGGTGGATTCTCAAGTATAAAGGGTTGCACAAAGAAATGCCTCAATCATCTCTAAGACCAAACGACTTCTATTTCGCTTTGCAAACACACATGGCAAATTCTAGGTATCATATGCAGGCATAGGATGTAAGTAACAACTCACACACACTTAGCATGTAACTCATTCCGAATCAGTTCATCAACACAATCATACGAGTGTTCAAGCCAGACAAGATGTGCAAAATTAAGGCATATATTATGAGTCCACAAACAAGCTTAGACCTTACACCCTTAGTTCGTTTTCTTTGCAAGTGTGCACATTTGGGGTTACATTCTGACCTTCACCCATTTAATCCTAAAACTATAAAAGAAAAATCTACCTAACCCGGTTCAAGAAAAACCCTTAGAAAAGAACCGTGGTCAAAAGAAAAATCAAGGGGGAGGTACTACACTACCTAAAAGAAGAAAATAAAATAAAAAGAAAATTCTACAT